CCACCCAGGGGACAATTCACCACCCGGGGGACAATTCACCACCCGGGGGACAATTCACCACCCGGGGGGGAGGGGGGCAATCCATCACCCAGGAGCAGAACAATCTTCATTTGTCTGGAGTTGATCAAGAGTTAAACTTCATGCAGAATTGTCAATATGCACAGTGGAGCTTTCCTCAATTTTGATGCAATCCCCAGATGCACTATTTCCTGCTGGAGCTTCCCATCCCTGCCCCTGCAGTAATCTATTCCAATCAACCCAATGCTGTGTCAGCCAGTCCCCACTTTAGTCCCTGCTCTGATCTCCCCTGAGCCCAGCAATTGCAGCTTAATATTATCCTTTGTCTTAGGCAATCCTTTAAGGATGACTTTAGATATGATGACCCTCCCCCTATTCTCCCAGTTGTGAGAATAGTTTCTAATATTTGCTTTGTGTTGGGTCCAGGTGAATGCCCAGCTGGACCTGTCAGTCGGTTCTTCTATTTGTTCCCTGTATAAACCACTGGGAGGACTGTGACCATCGGAATCTGAGAGAATAGCACAATTTCAAGAAGGTTACATACCCAGTGCTGCACAAACCGTCACCAAGTAAATTTTCACCTGGTAATGAGCATCACAAACTATCACCAGGTTAACATTAACCTGCAGTGTAAACTATCACTGGGCTAACACTCACTATCAACCTGCAGTGTCAACTATCATTGGGCTAACATTCACCATTAACCTGCAGTGTAAACTATTACAATGTTTTTGCAGCGATTTCTAAGCAGCTTAGTTACAGCAACTTACCATCTTGCCGTGAGACTGGGAGGCATGGAAAAACACAGCAGAGAAATTAATGAGAGCAGAGTATCAGAGTTAATCAAACCTGAACAATCAGCAAGTGGCATGAAGGAATTTACTGTACTCACGGTTCCTCCATTTTTACCAGCTTCAAACATTATGCAAGAGACTGAATAAAACCAAGCAGCAAACCCCCCAGGGGGAAGCTGCCCAGCAAGGTTTGGAGTCATGTGGATCACACTGACATACACCCCTCCTGGGCTGAGTCAGTACTTTTCAGCCAGTACAGGAGGTAAGGAGTCTGCCAGAGGATCCAGTCAGGACCCATTGTGATGCACTATTTAGTTAAATATCCTCATGATATTCACTGCAAGGTGACACACAGGAAAAACCATCCTTGTATTCCAGAAATTTTAAAATCAACTTTAAAGGTAAATTTGGGCAAATGAGAACTGGAATGAATAAACACAGAAATTTAGGAAATCCAGAGAGGGGGAGATGCAGGTGTGAAACAGAGAGGGGGAGACATGGAAGAGAAACAGAGAGGGGGAGATGTGGGGGGAGAAGCAGAACAGGGGAGACACGGGGGGGAGAAACAAACAGGGGGACATGGAGGGGATTTTTTTTATTATTCATTCACGGGATGAGGGTGTCGCTGGCTAGGCAGCATTTATTGCCCATTTCTTATTGCCCAGAAGGCAGTTCAGAGTCAACCACATTACTGTGGGTCTGGAGTCACATGTAGGCCAGACCAGGTAAGGATACCAGTTTTCTTCCCTAAAAGGGCATTAGTGAACCATTGGGTTTTTCCGACAATCGACAATGGATTCATGGTCATCATTAGATCCTTAATTCCAGATATTTAATTGAATTCAAATTCCACCATCTGCCTTGGTGGGATTCGAACCTGGGTCCCCAGAACGTTATCTGGGTCTCTGGATTAACAGTCCAGCGATAATACCACGAGGCCATCACCTCCCCTGGATGGTTGAAACAAGAAAGGTGGAGGTATGGGGGGGATGTGGGGGAGAAACAGAACAGGGGAACATGGAGGGGGCGGTTGAAACAGAGAGGTGGAGACATGGAGGAGAAACAGAGAGGGGGAGACACAGGGGAGAGACAGAACAGAGGAGACGCGGGGGAGAAACAGACAGGGACATGGAGGGGATGGCTGAAATAGCAAGGTGGAGACATGGGGGAAAAACAGAGAGGAGAAGACACAGGTGGGTGAAACAGAAAGGGGAAGACACGGTGGGGGTGAAATAAAAGGACATGGGGAGCAAGATGTAAATAAACAGTGAGGGGTGTGTTGCTGGGAATCATGTACATTTGTTTAAACTTTGAAAGTGAGAGCAGCATGTGGGCCCGGGAGAGCAGCTTATACCATCATTTACAATTGCCTAAAACTCCCCACACCCCACCATCGCCCCCTCACCCATAACCGAATCCCACCCTCCATTAAACACTCACTCTCTTATTAAGAATGCTTAAAGGATCATTGGGTTTATAAACAGAGACATAGAGTATAAAAGTGAGGAAGTGATGCTACATCTCTACAAATCATTGGTCAGAACACATTTAGAGTATTGTGTTCAGTTCTGGGTACTTCATTTAAAGAAGGATGTGAAAGCCCTGGAGAAAGTTCAAAGGAGATTTACTAGAATGATACCAGGAGTGAGAGATTTTAGATAGAAGGAAAGATTAGAGAGATTGGACATATTCTCCTTACAGCAGATAAGGTTAAGGGGTGACCTTATCGAGGTGTTTGAAATTATGAACAATTTTGGCAGGATAAAAATGGATATTCTGTTTCCACTAGTTGGTAAGTCTGTAACCAGGGATCACAATTTCAAGACTGTCAGCAAGACAGCTGGGAGTAAGATGAGGAAAAATCTATTCACTCAGAGTTATTAGGAATTGGAAACAGGAATTGGGAGAGTGGTGGAGGCGGATTCCATAGGTTTCAAAAAAAAGCTGGATATATATTTGAAAGGATGAAGTTAGAAGGCTATAGAAGATAGGGCTGGGGATGGGGCTGGATATCGGGAGCTGGTACAGGCATGATGGGTCAAAAGCCTCCTTCTGTATTGTAAATTTCTTTGAATCTACCCCTGCTTCACTAACAGAATCAAATCATCCACACCCCTACATAACACACCCATCACTGATGTCTCCAGCCAATCCGCCATACAGCCTGAAGACGGTGACTCCATTGCACCAGTATGTGGCTTCTTTCTGAAGCCCAGAGACTGAGTCAGGGACTCACACAGTTACCTTTCGCAAGTCCTTGTTGTTCATTGGGTCATCAGTTACTTTATGAGCCTGTAGATCAATCGTCTCTTTTAGCTCATAGTTGTACCCTTTCCTCTTACACACAATCACTGCCTTATCAAACAGAAACAAGTATCTGGAAGACAAAAAGCAACATTCCAGATCATTCCAAAAAAAAACTCAAATAACACAAAAAACACAAGCATGAGACTTCATTTCTATCTCCACTAACTCCCACACACACTGACTCTCACTGGGGTACGGCTCCCACACACACT